AGGTAAGGGAAGCGCCACACGTTGCCCAGGCCCACGCAGAAGCCCACGCAGGTGAGCATGTACTGAGCCTTGTTGTCCCACTTGGGCCGGGAGCTGGACTCCTCCTGTTCGATGGTCTCCAGCTGGGCCAGGGATGGGATCCGGGCGTCCAGGCCGGGGTTGGGCAGCACGAGCCTCACCATGGTGGTCGCTGGACGGCCCCGCACGGCAGGCAGGGCAAAAGCCAGAGGGCGAGTGGCCGTGGGCCGGGAGCTGGGCACTTTATAGAGAACCTTTGGCACCTCACCCCAGCACCTGGGCAGAACGGAGCCGTCAGCAGATCTGCAGGGCGCGTCCTCACGGACTGTTAATGCCTTATCTGCAGAGAGCCCGGCCCTGGGGCCGGCAGAGCCACCCACTGCGGTCCGAAACCGGGAGGCTGCTCCGTGGGCGCTGGCCACCCCTCCCCCTGCGCAGATGCATGCAGGTGAGCCAGCACCCCCGGAGAGGAGGAATCCAGGCAAACACACTTATCTCTTGATAACTGCGCCTGGGTCGCAGCAGAAGGCTGGCCCTGCCCACAGTCGAGGTGCCTCCGGCCACCACACACCCCCACCTGCGGGAAGCCGGGGTGGGCCTCTCACAGATCCCCCAAGCCCAGGCATAACGGCCCCCACCCCAGCCCCGGGAGCTCAGCTGGAGCAGGGACCCTGGGGGAGCCCGGGGTGGGCTCACACCCAGCAGGCCTGGGCCCCTCCAGCCGGGCCGTGGCTCTAAACTGCTGCTAGGGCCAGCTGCCCACCAGTGTCCACGGAACCACGGCTGCTCCGGTTGTGGCCTGAACCCGTCTGAGAGTGGGGCTGCCATGGCTGTGCCCTGGGGGCCACTGGGGTTTGTAATGAACTTTGTAATGAGCTTCAGAGAACAGCTTGTGCTGTCCGACCCGGCCTGGACGCCCGGATCCCATCCCTGGCTGAGCTGGAGACCAGGGAGGAGTCCAGCTCCCGGCCACAGGCTCAGGACCCCGAACCACCCTCTGGGACAGCCTCATCCCACGGGCCCCGGGGTCACCAGAGATGCAGCATCCATGTCATGGAACCTGCAGCCCGCCAGGACCCCCTTTGCTGGTGACTGCAGGGTTTCTGTCCTTCTGTGGAGTACTTTGTGGGGGGGCAGTCCTATGCCAGGTATGGACAGTGAAGGGAGATGGGGTCCCTGCCCCCAGCAGAGAGGCCATGCAGGGGAGCCATGCGGCTGACCATGGGGTCCAGGAGAGGCCAGAGGAACGTCAAGGGGCGTTCAGGACAGGGTCCCATCCGGCGGCGGTATCTCAGCCAAGACCACAGCCAGAGCGGGGCTCTCTCCTGGTTTTCCACATGGGGGGTTGGGGGTCCCCTCCTCGCTCAGGCTCTGCCCATTTGGATCCCCACTTGGGCCTCCCTCAAGTCTCTCCCATCCAGGAGACCCCAAGCTATGGGATACCCCAACCTGCCTTCCTGGGGCCAGGGACAGTGCCACACCCGCGCCCTCCCCAGGCCTCCTCCCGCCGCCGTTCAGCCTCTGGGGTCAGCTCCCTGGGTGCCCTCGACAGCCCCCTGCCCCCACTGCCCGCATTGCGCCCTCCACAGCCGGGGTCTTCCCAAACCCACAGGAACTTTCTCTAGTCTCCTGGTTCCTTCATCTCCGTCTACACCGCTGGGCGATCTGGGCCCAGAGCCGGCTCCGCCCCCGCCCCTACCCCCAACTCACCCTGACAATTGCTGAGTAATGGAGGTGAAGGCACTGGGGGCACCGCTCAGAGATGAGCAAGTTTAGGCACATGACCTTTGCCCCTAGGACGCAGGAACCCAGAAAGGGAGGTCGGAAGGAGATCACTTCACATTCAGGACGCCTGGCTTCCGAGCACAGCGCTGGCTGGAGGGAAGGGTGGGGACCTGGGAAGAGGCTGCTACAGAGACAGAAAGGCAGAGACAGAGACAGAGAGGGAGAGACAGAGAGAGAGAGACAGAGACAGAGAGAGAGACAGAGACAGAGAGGGAGAGACAGAGAGAGAGAGACAGAGAGGGAGAGAGAGACAGAGACAGAGAGGGAGAGACAGAGACAGAGAGACAGAGACAGAGAGACAGAGACAGAGAGAGAGAGACAGAGACAGAGAGGGAGAGACAGAGACAGAGAGGGAGAGACAGAGAGGGAGAGACAGAGACAGAGAGAGAGAGACAGAGACAGAGAGGGAGAGACAGAGAGAGAGAGACAGAGACAGAGAGGGAGAGACAGAGAGGGAGAGACAGAGAGGGAGAGGCAGAGAGAGACAGCAAGACAGAGACAGCGAGACAGAGAGAGACAGAGAGAGACAGAGAGGGAGAGACAGACAGAGACAGAGACAGAGAGGGAGAGACAGAGAGAGACAGCAAGACAGAGACAGAGGGAGAGACAGAGACAGAGACAGAGAGGGAGAGACAGAGAGAGAGAAAGAGAAAAAGAGAGAGAAAGAGGCAGAAAAAGAGAAATAGAGACAGAGAAAGACAGACAGGGAGAGACAGAGACATAAAAAGAGACGAGAGAGAGGGAGAAAGAGACAGAGAGAGACAGAGACAGAGAAAAAAAGAGAGATGGAGAAACAGAGACAGAGAGAGACAGGGAGAGACAGAGAGAAAGACAGCGCCAGAGCAAGACAGGCAGTGAGACAGTGAGACACAGAGACAGACAGAGAGACAGAGAGACACAGAGACAGAGACAGAGAGGAAGCAACAGAGACAGATTGAGTGAAACAGAGACAGACAGAGAGACAGCGAGAGTCAGTGGCTGGCCCAGGCCCGGAGCAGGGACCCGGGGATGGTGGAGGGGACAGGGCAGTCTGCAGATGGGGAGGGTGGATCCATCTCCCGGACCCCAAGGACCCGCAAGGGAGAATGAGCATGGGGTGGCTGAGGGAGGGTCTTCTGAACCAGCTTGTGGGGGACCCCACACCGCAGAGGACTGGGGCATGACCCCAGTGTGTATGGAGGGCCCCTGCCCCCCGCAAGCCCCACTGGACACACCTGAGTTTCACCAGAGGCCTCGGGGCCCACCTTCAAGGGTGCGTGGGGCCAGCGGCCCTAGGGCTTCCTCCTCCCCTCAGTGCCTCTAGAAGCTTCTGCAGAGGCAACGAGGTTGCTGTGTAGCAACCAGAACCAACTTGGACCCACATTTGATGGGCCACTGGCCCCACAGATCTGAATGCCCATGGGCTTAGCATTTGTATATGTAAAACAAAGCACAGTACCCAACTCCCGCAGTACCCAACCAACACAGTACCCAAGCCCCACAGCACCCAACTCCCACAGTACACATTCCCACAGTACCCAACCAACACAATACCCAAGCCCCACAGCACCCAACTCCCATAGCACCCAACTCCCACAGCAGCCAACTCCCACAGCAGCCAACTCCCACAGTACCCAACTCCCACAGTACCCAACCAACACAATACCCAAGTCCCACAGCAGCCAACTCCCACAGCACCCAACTCCCACAGCACACATTCCTACAGTACCCAACCAACACAATACCCAAGCCCCACAGCATCCAACTCACACAGCACCCAACTCACACAGCACCCAACTCCCACAGCATCCAACTCCCACAGCACCCAACTCCCACAGCACCCAACTCCCACAGCAGCCAGCTCCCACAGTACACATTCCCACAGTACCCAACCAACACAATACCCAAGCCCCACAGCATCCAACTCCCACAGCATCCAACTCACACAGCATCCAACTCACACAGCACCCAGCTCCCACAGCAACCAACTCCCACAGTACACATTCCCACAGTACCCAGCTCCCACAGCACCCAACTTCCACAGTACACGTTCCCACAGCACCCAACCCCCACAGCACCCAGCTCCCACAGCACCCAACTCCCACGGTACCCAACTGCCACAGTATTCAACCCCCACACTACCCGATTCTCACAGTACCCAACTCCCACAGTACCCAACTGCCACAGTACTCAACCCCCACAGTACCCGATTCTCACAGTACCCAACTGCCTTGTACCTCAGTATGTACTCCACGCTCGTTCCCTGAGAAAATATCTAGAAATCGCCGTGACCGATGGAAGACCAGGGCCTGACGCCTGCAGCAGCTGCCTCAACAGGGCCTTGAGGGGCCGCTTTTGTTCTGACCCTGCGCCGGAGTTTCCTTCCTGCAGAAGAGAGCGTCTCATCTGTCCCAGCCTCTGAGGAACGGGGAGCCCTTGGGAGGGGCTCAGCCCACCGCAGCCCTGGCTGGCCCTGCCCACTGCCAGGTGAGAGGAGGGACGGGGTGAGCCATGGACCTCGCTTCCTGCTGCAGAGCCTCAGGCCCTGGCTGGCTCTGCGATGCTGCTGTGGTCTCAGAGGCAGTCGACTACGTCCCCAGAAAATGAGAGGTGACCACCTGTGATAGCTGTCGATTGCATCTCAGAGGTGGGAGGTGACCGTCTGTGATGGCCGTCCATTTCATCCCAGGA